GCCTTTTGGCCGTACGTTCACTTTTAGTATGGTTTCCACGCAATCCTTTATAAATTAGACCCCAGGGCTGGTCGAAGTTGCGATGCGCGTGGAGAGGTGCGGCTGCTGGTCAAGCTGCCTCCCTGAGCCCTCGCTTTAAAAACAGTCAGGTGATCTGTCGCGGTTTTGTTGTGCTCGAGTTGTGAACACATGKTGTTCCGGTAGAAATGCTGTGAGCTGCAACGCTGAGGGCTTTCCTGGGACATGTTCGCCTGAGCCGAGCTGACCCTCCATCACAGAGAGAGGAAAAAGGAAGCGCYGTCAGATGGTACGACCCGCTCTGCTCTGTTCTGATTGGGTAAAACTTTGACTTTGCTTCTCTTTATTGGGTGAAAGAACAGTCGGTGCGCCACGATCATTTACATGTAGGGGAAACCCTGGTTAATCTAAAACATTATATAGTTCTTGAATTAATATATAAATGAGGGAAGCAAATCTCACCAGCTTGACATTTTCTTGAAGGCCAAACTTTAACTGGCTAATCTCCTCGTTGGCGTTCTCCAATGTTTTCTCCATCTGTTCAATCTGTAACAGTGCACAGATTCACTAAATAAAAAACTATCTAGTTTCATGGTAAACTGAAGAAAATAAAATAGATGCAATAAAAGGAAAATTTGGGAGTGATGTGACAACCTGTAGTTGAAATGCTTCTCTCTCATCTGTCAGAGGCTGTGGTTCAGAGTTCAGCTGATGCTGGAATTCACATTGCATCTAAAACAAAAAAAAAAAAAAAAAAAAAAAAAACAAGGCGTAATTTAAGTTTTGATCTAACTATGTCAACTTATTCTGGTTTTAATTAGTTTCACAAACACCAGGCCAGTCTGAGGAGAGGAAGCTGAATAAATTGTCTTAAACACAATAATACAGAGAAAAATGATCTGCATGTTAAACATTAATAATCAAACCTGGATGATTATGGAGTTTTGTGTGTTGCATTTGGAAACAAGTTATTTGTGTAATTTTGAAGATTTTCAGAGCACTTGAGAATAAATCTGTTTTGGGTTAGGCAGTAAGGAGAAAAAAAAGAAAGAATTACAACCCTCCCTTAGTCTTAATAATTAAGGGTTTAAATATCTATTTCCTAAGGAGTAATGCAGTAATTTATTCGTTAAGATTTTTTCTTCACTCTGCACCATTTTCATTCACGGCGTGATGTATTTTTTATTTTACTGTATATAGATTGTTTTGTTTTTATGAATGAAATAAATTAAATAAACTAAAACTCAAATTTTGGGACTTTACCATCTGCATCTTGTCCTCCAGCTCTTCTCTGAGCTGCTTCTTCTCCTCTCTCAGTCCCTCCAGGGTTTCCTGCAGCTGATCTCTCTCCTCACTGACAGATGCCAATCGGCACCGTAGCTTCTCCAGCTGCTCAGTTTGGGATGGACCGTTACATTCCTTCTGAGCATCTCTCTCCGCTCGAGTGTTTGCAAGCTCCTCAGTTAGAATCTTCATCTATTTCAAAGAGAATGACCAGTAAGAAAATGAAAACAAAGAATAAATAAAACAAAACTTAATTCAGATGATATCACCTGTTGCTCATAATCTGCTTCTTTCTGCTCATATAGTTTTATTAGATCCAACTTTGTCTGGAATTCTTTTGGAAGGAACTCAGGGTTTCCCCTACATGTAATTGATCGTGGCGCTCTGCCACGCCTTCAGAATGAAGTTGTTTGTTTTTTTTTTTTAAATCAACGTAAAACAGGAGTTGTTTAGGTTGTCCGAGACGACCCGTTTTCATTTTGGACAACCACCAGATCCCGCCTCCCAGTTGTCCAGTGGACAAAAATAAATAAATAAATAAATAAATAAAAAATTTAAAAAGGGGCAGGCAGTTTTACACCGTGTGTTCGTCATGTATAAAAATTAACGGGGAACAGAAGAAAAAAAATAACTTGTTAAAGCCGTCTAGGGATTAAACTGTTGGTTCTTTCACCCAATAAAAGAGAACCACTGTCAAAGTTTTACCAAATCAGAACAGAGCAGGGTAAAACTCAAAGTTCTGAGTCGTGTTTGTAATATAAATAACTTCTAAATTTAATCAGGTGTTTCAACGCCGTTAAATTACACAATAATTTCAGAGGAGAAACTTGTCACTTAGGTTAAAAATAGTAAAAGTTAATTATTTTTTTCTGTGCAGAGAACTTCCTCTGCTATAATTTTTTAAAAATAAATGATCAAAGCCCCTCAGTTGAAAACACGAAAATGATAGAAAAGATGTTTAAAAACCTCTTTCCTCAGAAAGTCTTCAGTCCTAAGAACACTAAACTGTAACTTCTAATAAGATCATGTACACAGTATACTCCTATTTAAATTAAAATGTTTGACCTGTAAGCAGAAAGCTTATGGATGTTTGTTGATTTTTGATCTCCAATTCAATGAAGAGGATGAGAACAAGTAATTTGTACTGAAGCCGCTCCTGAAACTGTCAACTTGCTGACTGAGAACATCTGTGTATAGTAAACTTTGTATACAGAACAATATAGCCTACTTATGAAATTACATTTTTACGGACAACCAGATTTTGACAACCTGTTGTATAAGTAATAAGAGCAAAATAACTGTTCACAATTTGTCATTGGGGGCCGGCTAGAATGTGAAAAATTTGGAAAAAAACCTGAAAACGAACAGTTTGTATCCTGTCCTCCAGTTCTGCACAGATCTGCTTCTTCTCCTCTTTCAGCATCTCCAGAGTCTCCTGCAGTTGATCTCTTTCCTCCATGAGAGATGTGACTCTGCACTGCAGCTTCTCCATCTCCTCTGTGTACCTCTGAATGCTGGCTTCATTCTCAAGCATCAGAGCATCTCTCTCTGCTCCCAGCTTCTCAAGCTCCTCGTTAAGAGTTCTCATCTGTCAGGTAGTGGGGGGAAAAATGTTTATTTCAATACACAGCCATAGCACACATCCAAATATTCAGTATGCAGATGTAGAGAAATGGGATGCGGGCTTAGGTTTTGTGGAAAACTTCTGTCATGTCAATAATTAAGGAGACCTTCACCAGCAGGATCTATGCAAAGCCTAATTTTAAGGTAAATAGTTACTATTGTAAAAATAAAACATGACTGATTTCCTTTGCTTTACCAACAATAAAAAGGAAAGTCTTACATTTATCTGGAGCTCCTCTAACTGTGGAACATTATCATTCAGATGTCCATTTACTCTCTGCTTTTTTTCGGATTCCAGGAGTTTGATTTGCTTTTTCTGCTCCCGAATTTTTTCTACGGCTGTTTTCAACTCTTCCTGATGTTCAATCATCTGTCAGAACATTCACATCATCAGCTACAAGGTCAAACAGAAGGTACATAAATCAACACAGCCACCAGACTGAATGTTAAATCACCAATTCCACGTTTTCCTGTAGGTCCACTTTGAGCTGGTCTCGTTCTGCTGTGAGAGAAGCCAAAGCAGAAAGAAGCTTCTCCACCTCCTCTGCAGAGCTCCCAGCATCGCATGTTGGCAGAGCCAGTTTCTCATCCTGCACAGCCTGAAGCTCCTGTGACTGTTTGAAATTTTCTTGGTCAAACTTTAGCTGGCTAATCTCCTCCTTGGCATTCCTCAACTTCTCTTCCAGCTGTTCAATCTGTAGAACAAAGCAGAGATACATAATCAAAGTTAAGATCTTGTGTCATATTTATATAAGAGGGTTATTCAACTAAATTGCTCCGAGGGCCACAGTTAGTGCAGGCCAACAGCTCAGGGGCCAAAAAAAAAAAAAAAAGCAATTGAAGTCATTATGTAAATAAAAACAAGTATTACAAAGACATGTTACCTATGAAATACTTTGTTTTGCTGTATTTAATCATGATTACAAACCCTATAAAAGTAGTGATAAAACAATATCAAAAACAAAAAGAACACATTATGCCTACTATTTGACACAAATGTTATTTTGACATCCCTGACTTGCAAAATTTTTAAACAAATTTTATTTTCACTTTCACTTTTTCATCTTCAACTGCTTGTAGTTTTAATTGTCTTGAGTGTTCATAGAAATATGGTTATTTTACCAGCTTCTAGCCAAGATTCTGATGTTTCTGTAGATACCAAACATGTTTATGTTTAACTAAAAGAACTTATAGTAATTAAAGTAGAAAATTGGAACTTTGAGCTTAAGACATGAATGAACCAATTTGCGGCCGAATTTTGGTCACTCGCGGGCTGGATGTGGCCTGCGGGCTGCCACCTGTTATATAAAGACAAACCAGAAAACTAAAATGGAGACAGTAAGAAGAAAAATAAGAGCAATGTGACTGAACCTGAAGTTGATGCGCTTCTCGCTCATCTGCAAGTGGCTGCAGTTCACAGGTGAGCTGTGGCTGGGACTCACATTGCATCTATTAAAGGATAAATAAACACAACTGTATTAAGTCTGCACACTAACTTGTTACCCTTAAAGAAGACACTCTCACCTCCAGCTCTGCTTTGAGCTTTTGCTTCTCCTCTTTTAGTCCCTCTAGAATCTCTTGCAGCTGATCTTTCTCCTCACTGAGAGATGTCACTCTGCACTGCAGCTTCTCCATCTCCTCTGTGTACGTCTGACTGCTGGCTTCCCTTTCAAGCATCAGAGCATCTCTCTCTGCTTGCACATTCTCAAGCTCTTCAGTCAAAGTCTTCATCTGGCAGGAAATTAAAAAAAGTTTTAAACCAAAGTCTGCAGTGCTAGGATAAATTTCTAAATAATCTACCAACTTTAAGGCACTTCCCTCCCTCACACAACTTTCAGAACATTTAAATTATCAGCTACAAGGACAAATGGAAAGCACCTGAATAATTTGACCATTTCCACCTGAGTGTCAACTCACCATCTCAACATTTCCCTGTAGGTCCACTTTGAGCTGGTCTCGTTCTGCTGTGAAAGAAGCCACAGCAGAAAGAAGCCTCTCCACCTCCTCTGCAGATCTCCCAGCGTTGTTGCATTCCAGAAYCATTTTCTCCTCCTGCACAGCCTGAAGCTCCTGCGATAGCCTTGTTAGCTGTTCACAAAAACACATCCAACAGTCAGGGGGTGAGGTTTTTATTTTATTATTATTTATTTACTGTTATTTTACCAGGTAAGTCCCATAAGTTACAAGTAGTGTGGCTGAGAAGCTCCATTAAATGTTTACTTACGTTTTCCCCTAATTCACACTCTTTCTGCTCAAACATTTTTGTCATATCAGAGTTCTTCTGCTTTTGTTCTTCAAGTTCTTGTTGAAGATGCTGTAGCAAAACATCCATCTCTGTGGCCTGAAATGAGAATAAGTTTTGAGAACTGGAAAAAGTTGTCAGAATTTCAAATATCTGCAGAAACGAATATCTAAGACGTTTCCCAGAAAGACGTTTGTGTGCATCAGATGTTTTTGGGGACGGTTATGAGGTAAAAAAAAAAAAAAAAAAACACAGGGTGTTTACAGATGTGTGTATTGTTTTACTATGCAGAAGCAGACCTTGTCCACATGTGCCTGCAGGTCCAGCCTGAGCTTGTCTCCTTCCTCTCTCAGAGACGTTATTGTGGAAAGAAACTCCTTTGTCTCCTCTGCTGAACTTTGACTTGAAGCACTCTGCTCAGACAGGAGCACCTCCTTCTCTGCTTGCACACACTCAAGTGCTTCATTCAGCTGCTTCAGCTAGGAAAACACACAGTTTTATTTTTTTTATTATTAAGATTACATGTGTAAGTTAGCTACAAATGTCAATCAACCTCAGCAATTCTCAAACTACAACAGCTGATATATAAATTGTGAAAGGCCAGACCTGTCAGTGCTACAAATRTAATATGGAATCAAGGAAAAACATGATGTAAAGCTTACCTTTGTGTCCCTTTCTTCAAGAAAAGCTTTCAGTTTGCTCCTCTCAGCCTCAGATTGTTTCAGTTCTGAGTGAAGYACATCCAGCTGCTGAGTTGCATCATCACACTGCTGCTTCAGCTCTTTCTCCCTCTGAGCAGAAACATCCAGATCTGCTTGAACTTTCAGCACCTCCTCCTTAGATGTTTGCAGGACGTCCCTGAGCTCCTGCTCACACCGAGTTTGATCTGAAAGCAGCTCGTCCCTCTGATTTTTCACAATTTGCAGCTYCTCAGTCAGGTCACAAACCTGAAACCAAAAATTATCACAAACATGTTTATTTACTGAAGATATTCTTACTGATAGAACCTACAGAGGATTTTTGCAGCACCAACCTGCTTTGTCAAGTTCTCCACCTGATCTGGAAGAGTTTGAAATGAAGCCAGCTTCTCCAGCTCAGCTCGGAGTGTTTCCTCTGCTTCACAAGATGCTGTCAGCTCTTTCTCCAGCTTGGCMACAGTTCTTCCAAGTTCCACACTTTCTATCAAATCTGCACACAGAGAAAAGCTTCTAACGCCCTGATTTTTAACTTCTAATCTCGTTTAAATCTCATATTTTGTCATATATTTTAGAAGCAACCACAATTTCAAATTACTCTGTGGGACTTTGCCATCTAGCAGAGTGGTGAGTTTGGTATTTTCATCAAACACAACATTCAGTTCTTTTTGRAGATCACTCTGCATCTTTTTGTAGCGAGACTTCTCTCTTTCAAGCTGTGAGAGCAAGMTGTTCATCTCAGCCTCCATCTTCTCCTGCCTGACAGTCAAGGTCACCTGGAGAAATGACAACACATTATAAAAAGCTATGAAAAATCTCAATTATCATGAGAATATATTATCATGGTAACACATTTTCTATGATTGAAAAAGGGTGGCAAAAAAATACATTTTGGGCAAAAAAATGAGTAAAAGATAATTCTTGAGACAAGATTTCCAACAGAAATTGAAGAAAATAAATTTGTTTTTGACAATTAGTTTGCAGCGTGCCTTTCAAGTTCCCAAATTATTCGGATGAATCCTAAAACAACATATAAACTAAAAAAAAAAAGGCACCCTCACTTACTTTCAGCTCCTCTAAAGCAATGTTTTCACTACGAAGAAAGGCCCATTCCTTCTTTGTGTCCCTGCTAACRCCCTCTGCATCATCCAGGGAGCGACGAAGCTTTGCCACTTCTTGCACCAGGTCCGTACCGCTCTGTCAGGGTGAAGCACAAAACATACCAAAGTTACCATTTTATTACCATTTAGTTCCAACATGTCAAAGTCTTTGTGCTTTTAAATAGACTAGATTACAGCCTAACCAATATTTTACATGCAGTCCCAAACATATTCTTATTACAGTGTTTCCACCTGCAGTTTCAGTACAAGCCTTTAGATCACATTTAATAATAATAATTAAAAAAAAAACTGTGGTAATTATAAATATCATTAGAACTATTCAACCCAATTGCTAACAAACTCAGCAATAAGTGCAGTTAAGACCTTGTACTTATAATACAGTATATTTTATTGTATATTGTTACTGAATGCTAAAATGTCATTTTAAAAATAGCCTGTATGACAYGCCTGTTCTTGAAGTATAACCAGACCCTTACACTCCCATATTACACTTCAATAAAACCAGAATTGTGTACTTGTAGTTAAAAGAAAGAACTGTAATGCACAGGGCCATCAAAAGGAGTAAAAAAATGATCAAAAACAAAATTAAAACAAACCATTTTCTGCAGCTCCTCTGAAAATTCAGTTTTCTTTTTCAGCTCCTCAGACAAAGTTTGAATATTGTTCTGAAGCAACAAAAAAAAAATAATAAATAAAAAATAAAAATAAATAAATAAATAAAACACACTTTAAAAACTTTCAGTTGTCACTTTAAAACCAGAGAGACATGTTAGAAAATTACTAAAATTTTGATAACATAAGCACATACAGAAACCCACCAGTGAGCAAAAACAGATCACAGGTAGTCACAGCAACCATGCAAATGACACATTTTAATGCTAGATCTGGCCAGATCAGCACATTTGTAATTAATTCACTTTAGAAACATGGCACCAGTGTAAACGAACAATATTCAKCTTACCTGAAGTTCCAGGCATTGGTCTTCAGATGCTTTGATGGCCTTCCTCAGGCAGCTTACTTCTTTTTTTAATTCATTCTATAAAATTGCATTAAAAATAAGAAATAAAAAGAAAAATGTAAATATAAAATGACAAAGAATTAAAAAAACTGATGAATCTCGAACAGAAAATCAAACGTCCCCTCAAAGGAAGCCTGAATGCATTCTTCTCATCACTTACCTCCTGCTCTTCAATGATGTTCGCTTCCAGRGACTCAAACTCACTCAGTTCATGTTTCTCTTTCAGTTCCTGTGACATAACGGCGTTCTCTTTTTCTAAATTTTGAATCTGCTCCATGAACAACCCCAGCTCCTGTTTGAGATAGTCTCGCTCAGCAATGACCTTGTCCTATAAATGCACAAATATAAATGAGTTTATCCTTTTTTTACCATTTCAAATGCATGAACCAAATATTATTCCAGAATTTATTAGTTGCAAAAATGGGTTCTATTTTTTTAAGAAGTTTTCATGCACCATATTAAAAAGGGTATGGTTTATTATTGTGTTAAAGCAGCAAGGTTACATAATTTCTGCATTAAGGGGCAAGTTAAAGTTTTTATCAACATCGAACGATAGGAAAGGCTTTAGGAAATAAATGTCTCCAGGACCCAGATCTACTAAATTAATTAAAATGTGTTTAAAAAACAACTTGTGAAAATAATGCTTTCTTAAGACAATCTTAAGATTGWTTATGTTTGAGGGAGTAGAAATGATTGTTGTTGTTGTTAATGTTATGTTCAAGTGAGGAAAGTGCTCTTATCTGTCAGTGGGTTTTTAAGTAAGGGTGATGTTACACAATAGTGAATCTGTTGTAGTAMACCAGTCACACATGGGGTGYGTGTGTTTCCTTAAAGTGTATGTTTTGTACACTCATGAGTGAACAGAGCTTTTTTGTACACCAATAATTAAATAGGTATTTTTGGCATACATTAAAWTTTTCAATTTGTCATACCAGAAAATTATTTGTACTAAATAAGTTGCTAGACTTTTCTGGGGGAGGTAATAATAAAAAGTGTCCATTAATACCTTCTCTGAAGCCAAAGTTTCACAAAGATGAACGATTTCTCCAAATTCCATGTTCATCTAGAGGACAACAYATTAGTGTTAACATTTGATTAAAAAGCTGCGGCGCAGTCTTGAGGCACTCATTTTAAAAGCAACTTACACATTTAGATTCAGCAAGGCTTTCTTCAGTAAGGCTGAGTTGCCTTTCCAGGTCTACTGCCTTCTTGTCAGCTGCCACAGTTTTCTCAATGGCTTCTTCGTTCTGCTGAGCTTCTGTTTGAAGCCGTCTTTCCAGGTCTGCAGCCTTTTTTTCTGCTGCCGCCATTTTTTCAAWGGCTTCAGTTCTCTGTTGTGCTTCAGTTTGGAGCTGCAGCTGCAGCTCGGCCACCTTACCGTCTAACATTTCAGTTTGCTTGACGGCTTCCTCCTTCTGTTGGACTTCAGCTTCAAGCTGCGACTTCAAGTCGGACACTTTTTTTGAAAGCTCACTTTCGCGGTCAGGAGACACGAAATCTGTTGAACTAAACAGAAAATACAACATATAAATGACTTCAGAGCAAACAAGATTGAATGGGTTTGCTTCTTGTATAGTAGTTTGATTTAAGTTGAACTTAGAAACTATACAGACCAAATACACAATGAAGTCTATCTATCCACTGTATATTAAAGGGTTTGAGGATCATGAGTCTACTAAAAATAAATAAATAATAAATAAAAATGTATTTTCTGCAACTGTAAAATAGCAGCAGCTACTAAAGTTGTAACACATCCAGTGAAGCGCRAGGGACTTTCAACAGGATTACATTTAGAGGAACAAATGTGTACTGTGAAAATAAACAGTAGATAACAGCACACATTGAGTCTTTGCATGAAGTAAAAAGATCAAGTTTTGTCCACTTGGCAAAAATGAAGCAGTCATGTTGGTGTCATTAAACTATAACAAATGTAAGAGTCCATTAATGTCATGGAGCTTAACTTTAAAGTGACACAYGTTGATGATTAATTAAACAAGTGAAAGTTAAACCAACTGATCTGAAACTCACCTGTTGCCAGATCTGCGGAAAGTCACAAAGTTCTCACTCATATCCATTTCACATGACGGCTCCTCTGGGATCATCCAGGTAGAATCAAAGTCTTCATCGCCTATCAAGGGAAAAACATCCTTGTGTTCATTGACTTCAGTGAACAATAAAAATGTCACAGGAGCAACAAAAAGGCTTCAAAATTATTTGCATTGCTCTTTACCTTCAGTTATTTCCATCATACTGGAGATCTGTGATTTCCACTTCTGACTGAAAGGTCCCGCAAAAGTCAAGTCAGACGTACCATCATTGTCACTTGAAGACTGATGGGCAAGTCCAAACAGTTTTCCTCCCCATGTCATCCTTCGTTTAGGCATCTGAGGACAGAACAAAACTCCTTAGAACCCTGACAGCAAAGAAGATTAACAAGCACTATTCCTGCCATGGTTACCCTTTGAGCAGAAACCAGGTTTGAACTGGTAACAAGCAGCTGGGTAAGGTTTCTGATCCTGTCTTCTTGTTCTCTCTGGAGTTGGTTTTTTTCCTGGAGCAGCTGAGACAGAGCCTCATTTTTTGTTTCTGTGGTCTGTGTGACTGAAGTAACCTGTGTGAGATCATCAACAAGTCAGATCGAGAGTTGTGATGAGACAATGGTGGAGACAAGGGGTGTTTAAATGACTGAAGAAACAACCCGATTATTCTGACCTCATGAAGTCGTCGCTTTAAATCCACAATTTCATTACGATACCGTTTGAGCAAAGCTCCATCATCTGACACCTCAGTAACATGTGGGTCGTTCTTCATTTTCTTTGCCGTGCTGGCAAACTAACAGAAAGAAACATGAAATTAATAATTTACTTATAATTTAACTTCAGAGTTTGGTTTAAAACCAATTAACTGATTTCCTTTTACCCAACATTAAACTGCAAACATCAGGTTTTCCACCAGATATTTCAGCATTATTAAATAAAAAAGACAAAAATGTGAAATATCAAAGCAGAGTTAGTGGGAGAATTTTCTTTCTCCAACCTGTAAAGTGCTGAGGGTCTCCTCCAGCGTGTAAGGAGTAACGTTGCAGATGATGACAGTTTTAGCATTTCCACCAAGAGAGTTCTGCAGGATGCGAGTCAACTTGCTGTCTCTGTAGTTTATGAAACCCCTAAAAACAATGTTCAGCAAACAAAATCATGACAAATTACACTAAAAACACCCAGATAAACAAGGCTGGTAGTATTAAAGAAACCATCCTAAAAAAGTTTATTTCGCTTTTGTACTCAGTTTAAATACGACATTTTTACTACCATTAACTGAAAATAAAGTTTGATATTTTGTAAAATAGTTGAAAGAAAAGCTAAATTAATTCAAGTTAATGAGTTAGGATACATTGTATAATTATTATAATTAGTGCCATCCTCCTTTAGCTTCTCCAACCTTAAAAAATGTTACAATTTATTACAGGGTGAAACATTTGAGTGTTAAATTTAAAGAAATAAAAAAAAAAAATAAAAAATTACCAAAAAATATAAGCAACAAACCAAAACCGGAAATTCAAAAAGACAAAATACACACAAAAAGGCTGCATTTATTTTCTAATAATGACCAGATGATCAATAGTGTGACATAATGTGGTCAGGTCTTTCTGTAAGACRTGTGACTGAAGTTCACTGAAATCTTTAAATAACATAATAAAAAAGGACAGGAAGAGAGATAATTGGGCATGTACATTTTTTAATAGCAGCATGTAAGGAAAAATGGTTAGAAAATTGATGTGGTGAATATCTAGTTTACTTACTTATAGTTTTCATCCGTTAGCTTCTTGATCACCTGACCAAGTGTGAAAAGACTGAGGTTTATATTGCAACCTTCTTTGAAGCGTGCACCTGTGATAATGGGGGGGGAAGGTGATTAACTTTATGGAACAGACTTTAATGCATTTTTTTTTTTTTTTTACATACAGAACCAGTGGAGTGTTGGCAGCTCTGTTTCAGTTAATGCACAGAGGTAAAAAGTCATTCTGAGCTTTGAACATAACCCAATCAAAAATATTTTATCATATATTCCAGCTTTTCAAACAGTATAGTAGTTGCTTCAGCCCACCTTCAGTTCCTGTTTGACTTGCTCTCTCAGACCCGGCAAGATCCACTAAATTCTAGAAGACAAAACCATCAAGGATCAAATTTTTACAGAGCAAATGATCATAGTGATGCAAAAAAAATAAAATAAAAATAGGGTTGAGTGGACACAATTTTAATTTTAATAAGTCCATGAACTTACTAAATGAGACACGATGATGGCTCCGTCGGTATTGTCACTCGATGCTGGATCACTTCTTTCTCGACTTTCTAAGATCTAATAACAAAATTATTTTAAAGCAAGTTTTTCTTAATAAACTTTCTGTAKCTTTAGCGTTTGAAACTGAATATGGTGGCATTGCTTACCATACGAAAAATAGCATGCGAGCGACTGCTTCGCTGATTCATTTTTGTCTTTGCATACYGACGGTTTTCTAGAAAGACGGTTTGAAGAAAACAAGGCGATTGTGACTCACAGTCAGCTGCTAATGCCACAAAACATTTGCCATCACAAACTACAGTATATCACATCTTACTTTCTCCTTTCCTGATCCAGGCGAGAACTTGTGAAGTAGATGTAACCAGCTCCTCTGTCAGATCAGCCACGTAGATGTTTTTCTGCAAACAAAACAGTTAAGCATGACTTACAGACTCAAAAATCAAGCTTTATCTCATTTCCAGTTTGTTTATTGGAGATACCTAATATTACACMGACTACACAAAATGATTTCATTCTGAAGGAAAAACTAATGCTGGTGAGTTTTTTGCTCATTGTGTGAAAAGCTTCTAAAACTAACGTTCTAAATCTACAAAATTCAAAAGATAGATTTACCAGCATCCAAACCGCAAACAYCTAAAATTTCACTTACATTGATTGTTTCTCGAACTTCCAAAGGTTTTCTTTTTCTGCTGTCAACAAGCAGGTCGGTCACAGTTTCATTATAGATTTCCATGTAAGACACTCTAAGAAGGAACTCCTTATTTGGAAACTTAAAAGTATAAAAAAAAAAACAGAGCAATTGTTTAGGGAAAAAAATACATACGTACTGTAAAATAAATTGCAGCATGTTTAAACAAGTACCACTGTCCTTACAGATTTAATAGTTTTAAAGACATCTTCCACAGCCAAAGGAATAACTCCAAGGTTATGGTCATTGCCCATCATAGTGAAAGTCTTTCCAGATGAAGTCTGTCCGTAGGCAAACACAGTTCCTATGAGGTAAACACAGACACAAAAAGAAGCAGCTAAAGTTAGCAGCATTAGCTAAGGAGGAGTTTACCTAAATCCTCATTTCATTACATACCATTGTATCCTCCAACAGTGGAAACAACCAGAGGGTTTCCAAAACCCTGATAAACCTGAGTGGTTGTTTCCTCAGCCGTGAACACCCGGTCTTTCAAAAGAAAAAAAAAAAGAAAAAAAAAGAGTTGGACATTAAGTTTCAGTTAGTGGGACTAACCTGGATATTTTAAACAGATTCCAAAACATATTCCAATGTGTGCTGTACAGCATACCAAAACTAAAACACTTGGAGCCTTCATCGACCTGATGAATAGATTTTTGGTCCGCTTTCCAATACAACTGAGGCCCTGTGTCCTCTGACGAAGCCACTTTCTCCCTGAAAAAACAAACAAACAAACAAAAAAAAAAACATAAAACAAACAAACAAAAAAGGACATTCTTAAAAACAAGTACCCATTTGTAAACTTCTCTTACCTAGAGCTCTTAAGTACCTGTAATGTACCTTAAAGACATTAAAATATATTTTTTTAAAAATAAGAACTACCTTTACTTGCTCATAAGACTTCCCCACCCCCTTTGTTTTAAAGAACTGTCACTTAGAGAAATCTTACAATAATTGACAAAAGCGTATTGAAAGATAAAGATAGGTCATTTCAAAGCCACATTAAAGCTTTGCTGAAATTGCACACATCATTTTGATAAAGAGGCACAAGCGTAGAATTCAGAAATGTTATATTCTTCCTATTCCATTATTCCTGGCATGGCATTAGATTCAACTCATAATTGTGTATTTTTAGCCATGAAAATTACTACACTTTTCTTGCATGTAAACATCAAAYTAATCTGCATCAAAATTGTTTGTGTTTGCAATACCTATAAAAAGCTGGTTTAGGAATTAAAAATGTAACTACATCCGAGAGAACAAACAAATTGTGTGTATGCAGGGCCAACGCAGAGACTACAGGCGTCCAGTTCATGCAGGCCTCACTCCGCTGAATTTTGGGAAACAGCCTCCCGCTGCCCTGCCTGCACAGCCGGAAAAATAAATGGAACTAAAACGCCGTAGTGTTTATGTTAAACGTAACACGACATACTATTGTCTAGTAAAAGTTAAAATAAATAARCCGGCGTTCGCTTTGGTTTTCCCACTCCCTGCTCTAACAACAGGCACACACAAAAAACACATTCCGCTTAAGTTTTACGTTGTTTTTGTTCAGCTTTAGTTCAGATATTTGTGTATCTCAAAGCTAAAAAAAAAAAAAATGCTTACCGGGCAACAACCGGGCGGACTCTTACGCAGACTTTTACAGCCGACTCTTCCGTCATTTTGGGAATAATATCACAGAAAACTACTGAGACATTGCTTTGTAAAAACTCACTAACGGTTTACACTGCGGTGAGGTGTGTACCACTAATTTAAAAGTGCGCTGCTTCGTTTTGATTGGTTAACGTCATCAATTGGACAGATCCATAGTCGGAGGGGGGGGGGGGGACCAAACAGATTACAATTAAGATATACTTGTTTAAATACTTTATACTTATTATTTACTTGAAAAGCTTAGAATACGTCCATTTCTTTTAAATAAATCTGAGTTATCGTGTTAAACTTAAATGTAAATATTTGTAGGTATATTCCTTTGCAGACATCCAAATGATGCTAAAAATACGCGACTGCTTTTTTGTGACGTAATAATTCCGTGCCCGGTTCACCATGTGAATTAGTAGATGTTTTTCAGCTCGTTATTTGGTTTGGTAWAAAGGGTGAAAAGACCTAGTGTTCATCTAGGCATTAGCAATTAATTAATTACGGAAGCTGAAAGTTATTAAATTGTTTTTAGAGACTCGTCTTGAAGTCGAAATGTCTCTGTTTCTTGTGAACAGGTAAGCAATTTCTGTTTGTCCACATTTTGTCACATGGGTTACAGGTGGATTTAAATGCACCCAATAATCATAATATAGTTGTTATCTATTAAGTCAAATTACTAAGCATGTTTTTGTAGTTTATCTGTTTATAGTGGGGGAAAATGAGGTGTCATCACAGTCGGTGTCAATGATGTAAAATTATTCAGCATGCCATTTTTCTGCTTCTTTTGTTTTAAGTCTGCAAACTGAGCAACAACCAATAAATTTAAAGTTAATAAATCGATCCAAAGATGGCAGCAGCTTGCGAAAAGTACTTTGCAAATGCATTCCTCGGCATAAATTTAGATGTTACAATTGCAAGTCTGATTTATTTTATAATGTTGGGATGCTTGTAGGTATCTTGGGGAAGAGGAAGAAGGAAGCATCTCACAAGAGTCACAGAGTCAGGTGTTGCTGGCCAAGCTGCAGCAAAAAGTGAAACAAAAGCAGAGACAGAGTGCGACAGAGCRGAAAGAACCTGTGCACGGAAAACAAACCAAGCAGCGTGACGTGCAGAAGAAATCAGAAGCTGACAAGGACAGTGGTCATGATCATCTACACAACAAAAAAAGGAAATCAGAAGCGTTGTGTGATTCAGACCCTGACAACCATGATGCAAAAGAGAAGAAAAAGAAGAAAAAGAGGCCTTCAGGTGTGTCATTAAACTCCTTTTGTGCCTTGTATGATCGATGTGCATGGTTTTCTCTATCTCTTAAACAGTGGCTTGAAGCATGCAAGCAGGGACTCCTAGTCAAGTTGACACGTTTCCAACAGAGAAGGGCATATACAACTGTAGATCATCAGTATAACAGTGAGAAGTTACTTAAAATGAATGCAGGAGAAGACCAAGAGGCAAAAGATAAAGTGAGAATTAGCAGGGGGCCGAGCACAGACCCTAGAGGGACCCCATGCTAGTGCCGGTCGCAGACAGCTCAYTTTTAAAATTAACATGCAAYACATACAACCCAACACTCACAAACAATTCGAGGGCAGATGTTTTGAGAAACAACTGCACTTCATGCTCCTTTACTCTTGCAACTCTGTTTTTGGTATTTTGCTTTAGCTTTCTACATTTTATAGTTGGATTCTTTTTTAGATAAGAGATAAGATAAAACTTTATTGATCCCACAGTTGGGAAATTTGCACATTACTGCAGCTCAATACAGGAGAGGCTGAGAAGAATAAAAAAAAGATAAAAGTAAACAAAAAAAAAAACAATATACACATGTGATATATAGTAATGTACATATACCAATGCACATATAGACATACATAAACACATATGCATATACATTTATATACATATATACACTGTATAGTATAGTACAAAAATGAATGTTTATGAAGGTGCATATAAGTGATTTGCAGTGTAGGTGAATTGTCCAAGTGACTGATAACATGATGATGTGTTATACAGTCTAACTGCAGTTGGATAAATGACCTACGGAAGCGCTCTGTCCTGCAGCGAGGATGTTTAAGTCTCTGACTGAAGGATAGGGGTGGGCATATCGATTGAAGGACTCGATATTATGGATACTAAGATGGTACTTGGTATCGAATCGATACCAGCATAATGGAATCGATGCTTTGCTTTGTTGTAGTTTCCTGCTAGTCTCTGGCTCTGAGCTCTCTTTCTCTCTYGCTCACACACACAGTCCAGCACAGGTACACACAGTGCCCCTCCCTCCCCCTGCTGTAGCTACGTAAGGGGCGGAGAGAGGCTTCAGAATCAGAGCAGCAGTGGTGAGAGAGAAATAAAGAAAGCTATATTTGTGAAGAGAAGCCGTCTGCCGTTTAGCACGGGGGGGTCTCCTCCATGTCAATGCGTCTCCCTCTTACAATAATGTTTTTGCAAGAGTGACTTTCCACAATCGGTGATAATCACTGCACTAAAGATCGGCTAATGGTCCACTTTTGCATGTCRACACCAGTTTTGATCATAGTCAAACTTGTTTGTCAACCATGTGAAGGCACTGAGCTGTAGAGCTTTTTTGGAGGAGAGATGATGATGTCACAAGAGTTTAAAAAAGTTTTCATCATCTCTCCTCCAAGTGAGGTTGAGACAATGTCCCAAAGACTGAAGTCTTGGATGGAAGCAACTAAAATGGCTGGGTTTAATCAGTTAGGTGGCCAAAGTCAACTTTTATGTTCTTTCATTTCCTTTTTTAAAATGTCTTCTAACTTTGTCCATGTTACCAAAATGTGTCTCACTTTGACTCTGAATTTTAGGCAAGTTAGCTGAAAGTGTTTCTCCAGTGAGCAGAAGAGATGAGGTGGAGTGCAAAGAAGGACAAGATAAGGCAGAAAACRTCTCAAAACAGAGCCAAGAGAAAACTTCTGTCCCAAAAGGATTTACTGTTCTTGGAGGATTTGAGAGCAAGGCTCCTCAGAAGGTACGTTACGATGATTTGATGGTGCTGAAAGGGTCAGGTGGTCTCCAGTAGAAATATGATTCTTTTCATCCAGTCCTTCTGTTTGTCCACAGGTCCACAGAGTCCTGCCTCAGTGGCTTGCTGAGCCTGACGTGATTCACAGAGATATTAAAAGCAACCTAGTCCCCATCTCTGACATCCCTGGGATTTGTTCTCTGCTCTTGAAAAAACTGGAAAGTAATGGAATTCAGCACTTCTTTCCAGGTAGATAAACATAGATTTATTGCCTTTTCAGGAATCTGGAGCTTAGATTGTGAAGTTGGTTCCATAAATGCAAGTTCTTTTTTGTTGAACAAGCTTTACTGAGTACAGAGAAACATAAAAAGATGGTATGGTCTTTGTGTAGTGCAAGCAGAAGTGATTCCAGCCATCTTAGAKGGTGCCCAGCATGGGCTGCTAATTGGTAGAGGAGGCTACAGACCCAAAGACATCTGTGTGTCCGCACCGACAGGCAGCGGCAAGACTCTTTCGTTTGTCATACCTGTCATACAGGTGAGCAGCATTTCTSTTATTTGGAGTAATCCGTGCCTTCTGTAARTGCAGACCCTGCTGCATGAAAAAGCTGCTTGGTGTGGTTTTCAGGTGCTGATGCAGCGGGTGGTGTGTGAAGTCCGAGCGTTGGCTGTGCTGCCAACCAAAGAGCTTGCCCAGCAGGTCAGAAACTTCAGACCTTCTTACCCTAAAGGTCATTTTTTTGAAAAGTTGTGAACAATAAATATCTTACCTGTTGTGGATAGCGCTTTGAACGACCTGAGTCGGGAAAATTGGTTTAAACTAAGGTAAGAGCAACGAGAATCACTGCCATCTTTAAACAACTTCAGTCCTAAAAATATTATAGTAGCTCGTGGAAATCCTGTTTTCCAAATCTTTACATCATCACCAAATTTAAGTTACAATTTTTTAAAATCTTTATTTAACCAGAAAGTCCCCTTTGAGGTTAACATCTCTTTAAAATGCAACCTGGTAAAAATATTAAATTTACATCAGAAAGAACCTCCTTTTGCATGGGAACAACTTGTCTTTGGTGGYCTGTGCAAACTGTGGCACCTTCCTGCAAGAATATCTTACATTTTTTTTGCTGGAAAAGCACATGATGTAAAATTGATGGTGGTGTGAAGATTTATAAAGTTGCATTCACAGGAACTGCTATGTTTTAATTTTGATTGATTAAAATGTTTTAAGGCAGTAACAGACTTTGATCTTGGCCACACTCAAACTCGCTATTAACTAATTTCTCAAGTCAGGTTGTTCAAAAAGCTGTCTTCAACAGGTATGACCTTATTTGTTCAGAACTTTTCCACAGACCAAAATATTTGAAAGCTATTTTCATGTGTGAGCTTGTGTCCATTTGTACAGGTTTACAAAGTGTTTGCATCATATTCTGAGGGAACTCAGCTGAAGGTGCTGATGCTGGCTGGTCAGAAGTCGTTCGCTTCAGAACAGGCTTCCATCTCTGAGCAAAGGTGTGAACTAAAGCTGTAAAGACAATCCAGAGCAATTTATTAAAAAAACTTATGCTTAAATAAGATTTATTTTACAGTAAGATAATAAAAATAAAAAAGGTAAGTATTTTCTTTAGCACCAGGATAGAGTTTGGAATTTTAGTGTTGTGTAACCATAAAATTTGTAGTCACGCTTCAAGTTGATTCTTTAAAAGGGGCATAAATTCAGGCAGCATTTTACAGGCTAAGTAAAAAAATGTACTTTAAACTTTACAACTATGATAGATGGTAGGAATACATTGTTCACTTATACGTATACTGGACCACCTTCAAATCCTCTGTCCTAATGATGCATGTTTCAGAAGGAGCGTGAGGCGCAGCGCAGCAGACATAGTTGTGGCGACACCCGGTCGACTGGTCGATCACATCAACAAAAACTCAGGATTATGTCTCCAGCAGCTCAGGTTTCTTGTAGGTTCCTCCACAGTAGAACTGATGTGCTTAAACAGCAGTGGGAAATAGTCTTTATTATGTACTTTTATCCTCAGATTATTGATGAGGCTGACAGGATGATTGACGGTATGCACCAGTCGTGGCTCAGCCAGGTTGTGAAGGAGGTGTACAGCTCAGGAGCTGAACCAGAAGCCATGAGCATCTTCAGGAGGACAGAAACACCTCATATCACAGCAGCCAGGTGAGTCGCAGTGAGAAACTCAGCTGAAAATCTGTGCAACAGTGAAAAATATCAATGTTTTTCTGTGTTCTCAAAGATTGAAGCCCTGCTTCTCTTCTCAGTCTGTCTCCCCCTCAGATGCCTCTGCAGAAGTTGCTGTTTTCAGCCACTCTCACTCAGAACCCGGAGAAGCTGCAGCAGCTGGGTCTCCATCAGCCCCGGCTCTTCAGCTCCAATCACAGCTCCTCCAACAATGCAGCAGCCGACCCCTCCCAGAAACAAGACTGCTTCGCCTTCCCCCAGGGTCTCTCAGTAAGAGACGACTCACAGGATGGAGCGCAGGCGAACAAATACATGGAAGTGGAGACGTGACATTGTGTACTTTTGTTTCGTAGGAGTATTATGTACCCTGTACGATGGACAAGAAGCCCCTCCTCATCCTTCACTTCATCCTTTTTATGAAGCTCTACCCCGTCCTCTGTTTCACCAACTCCAGAGAGATGGCACACAGGTTAGAGGCAGTTTATTTCTTATCACATTACTGCCGTTTGTACACARTACTTTCCTGTGCACTCCTTTACCTGTGAACTTTCTATCTCCCAGACTTTATCTGTTAGTGAAGCTCTTCGGTGGAGTTGAAGCAGCCGAGTTCTCCTCCAGACTCTCGCCCGGTGAGAGGAAGAAGACGATGAGGGAGTTTGAACAGGGAAAGATTCAACTGTGAGTCTGTGTGCAACTTTGCATTGCTAACATGAGCAAAGTAGATTTTACAGCTTCACATAGTTATTTAAAGTTATTTAGTGATGGAAGAGATAGAGTTAGTCACTTATGTGACATAGTTAAAACATTTTTGTCAAGTCCGAGAGATTATTAAAATGATAAAATATAAGCAAGAGTGAGAAATGTTGCATCGTGCAGCCATAAGCTGATATTTGATCACTCATAATCCTCATAATCTGATTGTTTTTATCAGCAACCAGTCACATTCATCATACAAGTTAAACCAAGTGAGTCATAAAAAACACTTTAGAATATAAGTTTTAATATTGTCCTGTAGGTTGATCAGCACTGATGCAGCAGCCAGAGGCATCGATATCAACGGGGTCAAATGTGTTGTCAATTACGACGCTCCGCAGTACATCAGGACGTACATTCACAGGTGAGCTCCTCTGTTCTCGAAGGTTTTRTTGTGACTGTTTGTACTGTTCTCATTCTGATTTGYTTTCTTTGTCGTCATGCAGGGTCGGAAGGACAGCAAGAGCAGGAAGGACAGGACTGGCCTTCACTTTACTGCTCAAAATACAGGTGAATTATACAGTGCCTTGAAAAAGTATAAACGAACATTAGTTTTCCAACCTTAAAGTCTTTTACTGGGATTTTATGTGTTAAAGCAACACAAAAATATTAAGTGTAATTGTGAATTCAATCCCCTTTATCTGGTGCGGAGTTAAAATTGCAAAATGTATGCTATGAATATAAAATGTTTTACAGACTGCACATTTTACCTTTTAAAAAGGAGTTTCTAAAATAAATTCTGCATGCAGTTCCTGACACTTTTATTTACCTTGTAAAGCATTTTGTTTTTTATGACCCCRCTTAGAAAAATAAGTTCCTTCAAATGGTGAAGGAAGCAGGGAGTCCTGGGATCTACAAGCAGTTGGTCAAAGCAGAAACCCTAAAGGGTTTAGAAGCCCGGTATGAACAAATCCTGCAAGAGCTGCCTAGTGTTATTAAGGTACCATCACTTCAGTAAACCARTGAGGTTTTTGTCCTTTTTAAAATTATAACTTGGTGAAAAAAAATGCTCTCTTCTTATCTTTCGGCAGAATGAGAAAGCCAGATGATGACGCAGCAACTATCAATCATCACTTATTTTTTATGGCAAAAGTCACTTTTGTATTCCTGTTGTTAAATAAAAAACTTGATGCATAACAATAATGTGTGCTTGTTTACTGAAGGCAAATGCTTATTGTTAGTGTTCAAATTTGACATCAGTCTAAAAATAAAACAGGATTGGATTTATTAAACAGAAGTACTGGAGAGGTCACTTTGTAAAATAATCATGTTTTTAAATTTCAAGGCTGAAATGACATCAAACTAATATGAAAACATTTAATTGTACAAACATTTGCATACATTTAAAGACATAATTTGCCTTTTTCCATTGATGGAATGAGACAATGTCCACCTGATGATATTGTTTGTTATATGTTAATRTCTAAATTTTAACTTAAACACAGTAAAGCTTGCTGTATGTACAGGGTCAGAGCTTTCAGCTTTTCAGAAATCAGTTGATTCCCCCCCCCCCGTCACTGTCTTGACAAGTTATTTCATGTCGACTGTCTCTGACACAATGAAACGCCATCAGTCCCATCTGGAAGTCTTCCTCTTCATGTATCTCTCTCCTTCACTGTCGATGGCCTCGTAAAGCTGCTGGTCGTTTTCTTTCATTGCGTGCATGTAGCCCAGATAACCCACGCTCAAAGTGATGGCTACCAGTCCTAACGCCATCACTGTCTTGTTCTGCAAAACAACACATTGTTAAAAGTTAGTGTTTTAACAGAATGAAAAATACTAGGATTTCCATCATTTAACTTTGCTTTCTTCATTTAAGTATGAGGCAGTTGCCTCATAACAACAAACAAAAAAAACTACATGTAATATATACTTATTGCTATTCCTTTTATGCAGATATAAACAGTCTTTTTGACAGTAGTATCTCACAGGTTTGATGAAGAGTTCAGGGTTGACAGCGCGGAACAGCGTGGTGGTCTGCGCCCCCCTCAGCCCCGGGGTTCGGAAACCTCTCTCCCCGGAACTCTCCTTCCCTTTACCGGCCTCTTTATCTGACATATCCGGCAGAAACGATACAGAATCGGATATGATTATAAAATATTAGAACCTCGAAGAAAGACGTATCATTTTACGACAGTTGTAGCTAACTTGTTTGAGTCTTCTTCTTTGGGTTTTCCAGCTGCTGATGTGCGTGATGTCGCAATGCTGCCGCCTACTGGTTTCACTGAAAACCACCAGTCCCTCTCAGGATGTGTCGCAGGGGGTTCCCTTTGCCAGAAAGGTGAATACACCTTGGAGAGGTCACCATCCCCGTTTCAGAAAGCAGGAGAAGTGGAAATCCTGAGTAAGTTCTGGGGTAACTATGTGCATATACTGATTTTTCTGTTTCAGAAAGCCCAGATAGAAGTTATCCTGAGTTAACTTACCAATGCAATTTACTCCGTGAACCAACCCTGCTCTGTAGCAGGATTACTTGAACATATCCTGAGTTAGTCTGACATTTTAGCTGAGATCTGGCATGAGGAAAGTGTCAGGCAGGGCGTGTCCTTTTCTAAAGGAGCCTGTAGATGTTGGAGCATAATAATACACAGAAATGTATGTAGAGGGAGAGAGAGAATGATAAGAAGATGAGACGTTTTGTCATTTCTGGGTGAAAATATGAGAATTTTTTTTAGATGTTTTTAATTGCTCAGGTTTCAATCTTTTCCTTCAAGTACAGCTTGTAGCTGTTTCACAGGAAACTTTAGGGCAGGGATCATCAATTCCTGTGCTCGAGGTCCACAGCCCTGCATGTTTTACTTGTTTCTCTGCTCCAACACACCTGATTTGAATGAATAGATGATTATCAGGCTTCTGCAGAACTTGGAAGAGATAATTCACTGACTGAATCAGGTGTGTTAGAGAAGTGTCTATATATTCAATATATRTGTACAGAAAATGGATGGGTGGATTTTGAAGTCTATGTGTCAAAATCTGTGCATCGCCCTCTCGTGGCGAGAATAAGTATTACAAAACAAAGTGATCTCCGATTTTTATCCTCTGCATTTTGTGGGGGTTTTTTTTAAACACGATACAGGGTTTTTACTATAATACTATTACTATTTTTCCGCAYTTCTCACAGACAATATTGAAAATAAAAATGCTTCGGAATCTTCATTGTTAACTAAAGATGATGTGCTGCATGGAGTGATTTGGAAGAATGAAACTCAGTTTTGTGATCAATGCATCTTGAAAATTACTTTTTCCTAAGAGCAGATACCTAGAACCCTTATCAAGCTTCATGCGTAAAATAAATAAATAAAAACTAAACTTTTTTCCCTGTACAATAACTACTATAGCTTACTATGTACTAAACTACTGTATTATAAAAATACCATTAAGCTTTATAATCAAGACACTCGGACTTAATTAAATTATTAATGCATTTCTTTCTCTTTTTTTATTTCTTTAATTTTCTTATGTTTGTATCATTTTATTGTCATTGGCAGACAAAATTTAATGTTTTTTTGTCTTCACGTTCCTCAAGTTATCACCCTGTAAATTTATTAATGTATTTCTTATTTTTTGTTGTAGCGTTAAAGGATGAGTGATGATCTTTCTGTATGTCTTAATTTTCAGTTAGTTGAGCCRAAGATGTCTGAACTTGTCAGCACATTTTTTTTCAGGAACAACTTTAGCGCCCTCTTATGGCAGAAAAAATATTACCAAAACAAACACAAATCACAAAAAATAAAATAATAAAATAAAAAAATTAAAAAAAGTCCCTAACCTCAAAGTTCCATTTTATTTATACTTAAAACTATGAAGTGAGGTGACTTTTAAATAAATGATTAATATAGTTTTTATCTTTCTTTTTATCTTTCCTCTTTCAGAAATGCAAAAAAAAAGTTGTCTTAATCTCCACCATAAGGCCCTTTTAATTGTGAATGATCATAAAGTCAAAAATAAAGTAATTAAGGTCAAAATTGGTTCCTCAAAAAATTGTTTGCCTTGTCTTTTGTAGTTTTATTCTGTATTTGGACAGCTTGTTATTGATGAAAACGTCCAATTGAAATACATAAGAATAGTTTTAAGGAATGAAGAAAGTTTTACTTCTGTAAATCTTTAGCCATATTTATTGTTGTTACTCGTGTTTATGGAAAAGTGGCTGGAGTTCACGTACAAGGAAACAAAGATCTGATCTTGGGATTTGACTGAGGGGAAAAAAATCATCAAAACCCTRCATGTGCTTCACAGGAATGATGCTTCATTGCTGTGTCATCTCCTTTTGTTATGCCACTCAAGTTTGCTCATATATTTAAAACACATAGATTACACTTTTTTAATCAAGAAAAATTRTATACATTCCTAACATTTGGCATGAGTGGTGTTCAATGTGGTGTAGAATCCAAACTTTAGATTAAAAAGCAGCTTGACTCATGGTGACTTTTATAATATAGAAACTCTTAAAAAAAACATTGTGAAGAAATAAAAAAAAGCCACAGGCTGACTTTATTAAAGGTTATGCAATGAGCTGACACCTCTGATAGACCTTTCCAGTAAGTTGTATTATGACTCAATAAGCCCAAGATTCAATGATGTCGAAACTAAGGTGTGGCAGATACTTGGGGCAGTGTGTCTGCGTTGACTGATAACAGCCGCACTGCACCTTTAACTAAACACTAGAGTGACGTAAGGACGCAAAATACGTGCTAAATGCAAGCAGGAAGCGCTTAGCGCTCGTGGTGTCAAGTTAGAAAAAATCCAAACTTATTAGACAGGAAGTTGAACATGTCGATATTAGGAGTAAATCCATCCTTCCTATTAGTCAAGATTTATGACAAAGTTAGCATAGCATTTATTATTTTTATGAAATAATATTTTATTGTATTGTTGAGTAGGTAGGCGGAGCATTGTTTGATTAACTTTTGATGAACACAGTGCGCAGGCTTCTTTTATTTTGAAAAGCCAAAACAGGAAGTGGTTGCTTTATATCACGCGTCATTTAACTCTGATGAACAGAGCAACCGACGCACGGTGCCTGCGTGAACGAAAACGGGGGAAGCTTGGACAAGAACCGGCTGGGCTGCGTCGGGAACTTAGCATGCAACAATATAAATGTTGAGTGTGGTTCCGGAATATTGGTATTTCCCGTGCGAACGGCGATAGTTGACGGCCACACCCTGTTTTCCACCCACCGCAGCTCAGTGCTGGCGACGGTGAGCGGCTTGAAACCCAGCAGGGCGGCTAGCGGGGTTCACAGCGGAGAGAGGAAGCAGGAGCGTCGGCTGCTTTGAGAACCATGAGAGAGTACAAAGTAGTGGTTCTGGGGTCCGGGGGCGTCGGGAAATCCGCAATAACAGTCCAGTTTGTGACGGGGTCTTTTATAGAGAAATACGACCCCACGATAGAGGATTTCTACAGGAAGGAGATCGAGGTGGACTCCTCTCCGTCCGTCCTGGAGATCCTGGACACGGCGGGGACCGAGCAGTTCGCCTCCATGCGAGACCTCTACATCAAAAACGGGCAGGGTTTCATCCTGGTCTACAGCCTAGTAAACCAGCAGAGCTTCCAGGACATCAAGCCGATGCGAGAACAGATCACTCGGGTCAAAAGGTACGAGCGGGTGCCGATGATTCTGGTCGGGAACAAAGTGGACCTGGAGGGGGAAAGGGAGGTCTCGTCCGGTGAGGGGAAGGCGCTGGCGGACGAGTGGAACTGCCCGTTCATGGAAACTTCAGCCAAAAATAAAAGCTCTGTGGACGAACTGTTTGCAGAGATAGTTCGGCAGATGAACTATGCCTCAACACCAAGTGGCGACGACCGGTGCTGCTCTTCTTGTGTAATTCTTTAAGAGGGGAAAAAAGGGACAATCACAAAGTTTTATTCTCTGCTCAGTTTTAAGTTTGCAATGGTAAGTTGAGGCGTCATACTTCTTTTAAACTTCCTATTGAGATGTTGTAGTCCATAATCAGTACAGATTTGTGAATTGAGCTAGACCGGATGTATGTTAATAGCCTGATAATCTCAGTTTATCTTGTTAGCATTAGATATTACCATAACRTAGCAGTTGTAAACTTGTATACCATTGTAAACACGACTGGGGAAGTTTCTGACTAATTTGCAGAAGTTCATGTGAAAGACATGATGTTTTAATATAAAAGTATGCAAACTTTGGGTTTTTAAAAGGGGCATTTCAGCTTTCTTTTCTATAAATAAACTATGCAGGGAGCCACTAAATCTGCTCGGCTCTTAAACAAATCTGATAGTTTTAGTGTATATAGTTTATAGAAAAAAAACTAGTGTTCTAAACAATATTCTACTTAAAGAAATAATGAGATTCACACAAATCTATTAAATCTAAGTCCTCACTATATATATA